CATGTAGTTTGTACACCCGACATTAGAACTACTCTGCATTACTTTAAGGCCATTTTACCTACCAAAGGAGTTCACCCAAATCTGTATCATACTTACTTACATTCCACCTAATGCTAGCAAGGAGCAGGCTGCTGAGAGACTTTTGGATGTAATCCATGATTTCGAAACAAAAAAAAAAAAACAACCCAGAATCCGTTCGTCTTGTTATGGGGAACTTTAATCAACTATCACTGAATAAATCCATGCCAACATACATCCAGTACGTTACTTCCCCCGAGTGACAAGACCGAACTGTGTTATGGTAATATAAAAAAAGGCCTACACATGTCGTGCTTCATTTCCACTAGAAGAATCTGAAAACACAATCGTCTACCTAATGCTATTCAATAAAAAAAAACCTTCAAGCCAGGTTGGAATGTACAGACTGTGAAACGTTTATAAACACTTGCGCGGACATTGATGACGAGCTGACAAACACCGTCAATTCCTACATTAAGTTCAACAACAACAAACCCTGGATGAGCAGAGAAATAAAGGAGGCCATCCACCACAAGAAGACCTATTTCAAGATTAACGATCAGGAATGCATTAAAGATAAAAAAAAAATATTGAAAGAAAAAATATATCAGGGTAAAAAACAATACAAACAAAAAATCGACAACTTATTCCAAACTAACAACTCAAGGGCTTGTTGGGCAGGACTAAAGTAAATAACAGGATATACTCCTAAGCGAGAATGCTTATGTGTTGAGGACGTGAGGAATTTTTTTAACGACTTTAATTACTTTTATTTTCGTTTTGACAGCCTGGACTTGGGATGAGTACCCAATGAGATGATGCCTTCATTTACAGATGGCTGTAGTAAACAGGATGGTACATTATTGTTCATCGAACAATAATGATGTCATTATTTAAACAAGTGGACGTAGCCAAGGCCTCAGGGCCAGATAAATTAAGTGGTCGGCTCATTAAACTATGCTCAGAGCTGCGCTCCTACATTTTTTGTTACATATTTAATAAATCGTATGTAACTCACACAATACCAGCATTTTTGAAAACTTCAGAAATCATAATAATTCCATAGTAAAAAAAGGTAACGTGCAACAACGACTTACGACCAATTTCACTGAAATGTATTGAATTGAAATGTATTGAGAAAATAATTCTGAAAGAAATTTTGAATGAAGTAAAGCAAAAACTTGACCCCTACCAATTTGCTTACAAATCTGCAAAAAGTACGGAGGATGCAATCTTACTATTGTTGGAGACTTTACCATGAACAAGACAGTCCTAAAACATATGCACGAGTGCTTTTCTTAGACTTCTCATCAGCATTGAACACTATCCAACCACACCTTATGATTAAAAAAATTTCCTCGTTAGGTGTCAATTTAAATATTAAGGCCTGGATACTGAAATGTTTAACAAATTGACCAAAGTATGTCAAAGTAAATAACCAGTAAATAATCTCTAACCAGAGAAATAAACACAAGGGCACCACAAGGCTGCGTTCTATCTCCTGTGCTGTATTCCATTTATACTAATGATGTTCAAAACTCATGCGACACAGTTTTAATCTTAAATTTGCTGATGATAATATCAATGTTGGCTTAATATCTGAAGGAGAAAGTCTATACCACAATTTAGTTACAAGCTTTAAAAATTGGTGCGATGAAAATTTTCTCCAGTTGAATGTCTCAAAAACAAAGGAAATGGTTGTTGATTTCAGGAGGGGCAAACCTCAGATTACACATCTCAACATAAAAAATCAAAGTGTAGAGAAAGTGGAGGCATACAAGTACTTAGGTGTTACCATTAATAGTAAGCTAACATGGCATGAGCACGGCCAAATGCTGTATAAGAAATTCAACCAAAGACTGTTCTACCTCATAAAACTGTACAATTTCGGCGTAAACAAGCAAATCGTTAACTCATTCTACAGTGCAACAATTGGAAGCCTGCTTAATTTCAATATTACCTGCTGGTGTGGGAATTCAACGTCTGATATTAAACACCGCATAAACCGACTAATCAAGACAGCTAGGAACATAACACAAACTAAACATCCTTCACTTGAAGAACTCTTTGAAGAAAGATGTTTTTGTAAAACTAAACACATTTGGATGATATATCCCACCCTCTTCACCACAAATACTTAGGATCGGGCCGTTCGGGACGTCTTGTTCCATCAGGGTGAGGACTGAAAGATATACAAATTCTTTTGTTCCCCAATCTGTACGAATTTACCGGCGTGCTTCCTCTGTAGTCACACATCTTAATGAGAACTAATAAGTCCCCGATTTGGCTAAGAGAACTGACTGATTGCCTGTTAGAAATAATTTATTATAAATGTCTTTTGTTCAAATTGTTTGATTTATGTGCTTAAAATGTATATAATGCAACCAAAAACCATTTCCATTTCTTTGGATCAATAAAAGAATCTAACCTTATCTTAGTTGACTACCTCAGTTCATGAATTTTAACAGTACCTCACTCCTCTAGCTTATGAAAGTTAGCATAATTTGATAACCTCTACCTCAATTAATGAATGCAAACATCACCAAAATTTAAATAAAATATAGTTTTAAATTGTCAATTAAAGAAATACGAAGTAACTATTATTTTTTCGCCTAATTTGTAAATTAACGGGAAAATGTATGTAGCCTATCAAACAAAAAGATTTAGCATTTTAGAAATTTTCAATAAATGTATTTTAGATATTAACAAACGGACTCCTTCATAGAAAAATGATTTTATATGTAAAATTAACAAGTCTACTCTTTTTTACTGTATGCATAAAATGACACATACAAATAATATTTTTATTGTTGTTGATAGCTTTTTAATTGAAATAATATTTACAATTCTCAAATGTATGTTCTTGATTGTGTAAAGTAAGCACTTACACTGAAGTGTTGCGTCATATGTATTTCTCAAGCAAATTAGAAATTGTCATTTAAACTTCTCAGTTGTGGAGGTATAGCGAATAAAATAAACAGTAGAATGTCTTAGAGATTGGAAACTTAGGGAGGTATTTCAAATAACATGACCCGTACAATGTCTTAGGGAAATCTTAGAGAATATCTTGAAGAAAAAAATCTTAACTCATCATTCAATTTATTCAAATATTAAACAAAAGCAATAAAATAGATTTTAAAATAATATTATGTTATGTTGTAAGAAAAAAAAGTTAATAATTTCGATTTGAAAATGAGTTCGGTCTCATCTCTTAGCGTTTGGTTTCTTCAATCAAAAGTGTGAAAACGACAGACATCAATTCACATCTGCTGCCAACAAAATTAACATGTCACTGGATGAATTCGTTTTTCCAAGGAGTCCTGCTATCTTTAGTAAAGCATGTTCAATTCTAAATTTAGAAACGTGTGTTTTTTCCGCAAATTGTTTTTAACGAGTTTCTACTTCTCGTCGACTTTTCATTTGTCCTGTTTGCCAAAGAAGGTTATTAGCCGAAATGCTCTTATCATGCTGACCCGTCTTTGGATTCAGAGCTTAGACTTACCTTGTTCTACTATTTTTTTCACTGTGCTTGAATGCAGTCCTTCATTTATCATATTATAACGGTGTGTTTAAACCGTAACGTAGTGATCATTAAATAATTTCAAAAACTTTCTTTCAAACGATTGAATATTGGATCTGGATGCTTGTGTCACTGATAATTGGTCTGAGAAAGAAATAAAATTATTTTAAATTGCATTAATTTAACAGTCGGCTAAAGGGCAAAATATTAAATTAGAATCTAAATACTAAATGAAATTTATCGATAAGACAAACTCATGTTGTTAAGTTCAGGTTTTCAGAAATATTTTTATAAAAAAAAAAAAAAAAAAAAAAAAAGAAAAGAAAAACACAAATGAAATAGTCTTTAAGGTGAGAATAAATGTAGTAGATTGAACAAATGATCAATTGGTTTAAGTGTCAATATTAAGTTCAAGTGTTGCGAGGAACAGAGAAAATGTCAAAGTCTCAAAAGTTTGTTAGACTGACGCCAATTTAGACTTAGTAGATAGCCCGTGAAGAGAGGGCGGAAACTTAGGCCTACATTTCCTGTACGCGAACTGTAAATTATGTCTCCTGAAATGACAAGACGCAATTTGTTCCCCATCAGGTTATTCTGGATATAGGTCACATGGCGTAGCTTTGGTTTGATGGATTTTTGTTTTCTTTTCTATTAAGTTGCGTCATAAGTTTTCTAATTTCAAAAATTTTTGTGCGAGAAAGAAAATTGCGTGGTGTATTAATTTATCATTTCTTCGGGGGGAATTATTTCTAACCGGTGAAAAAAACAATGAGTTCTTGAACACATAATTAAGGTTAAGCAGTTAACACATGAGTATAAATGGTAATGTAGTTCTCTCTTAGAGAAAGCGTCTATTTGAATCTTGTTACGTGGAATCTGTCCCGTAGAAATTTAAAGTTACTTTTTATGTAAAGGAACACGAATATAAGATATATGAGATAATATTCATTCCATAAAATAAATCATTTACCAGTGAAAAGGCAAAGTGTTGCTAGGCTATTGACAAAGATCATTGTTGTCTGGGCAGATTTTTATTAATGCAGAATTTTGCAGTAAAGATTTTATCGATGAAATATGCCTGTCCACATAAGACTCTAGCCTGCTAATTACATTGTTGTCAATTCAAGAAATATTTCCTTCCTAGTCTATGGTTAATGGAATCATATTTATTTTTATATATAAATAAAAACCTGAGGCTAGAACAAATATATCTTATTTTCTGCAGGTCTTCATAATTCAAAATTATTTTGAATTTTATTTCCTATCATTTAAAAAAAAGTAACATTTGATTTAGAATTTCTTTTATTATTAGCATACAAATTATTTCTCATGAAAATTTTATATTGTGATTTAGTTTGACCAAAAACAAAAAAAAAAATAAAAAATTGAAATCGAACTATAGAAGTTCAAGTACAACTCATTGAAAAGAATGTCATACATAAATTCAACATATTCTATCGAATCATCGACTAATCAAAGTAAGACGATTCAACTAAATTATATTTACGATGTGCCGTTCGAAGTGCTTGTATGGGTTAAGATAATCTTAAATGGTTATTTCGTTATTTTTATGTCAGTGACTGGAGTTATAGGAAACATTTTAATCATTATTGTTGTGTATCGTCAAGGGTTGAAGGATACACCTCAAATATTGATGATGTCATTAGCAGCATCGGACGCCCTCTTTTCAACAGCTACTCTAGTGATCCATTTTCCTGAAATTATTTTTAATGTTGATTATTATCTGGCCACAACATGTTTGACTTACACTAAAGTGTACGTTTTCGAAATGTATTATTTTACTCTTGTTCTGAGTTTCTGCACATTTCCACTCATCTCATTTGAGCGAATGATTGCTGTGTATTTTCCTTTTCAGGTATCTAGAATTTGCACACCTTTCCGCATAAAATGTATACTTTTGTGTTTGTATGTGTATTCATTGGCAGCGACTATAGTTACTGCCTTTTTTGCTTACCCTCTCTGGTTACAAGATCCATCAAGTAACAATTCCTATGCTGTACCTGCTCTAACTGATTTTGTACTAAATAATTTTGAAGGAATGATTTTATATGAAACAATAATTTTAATGTACCTACTCTCAATTATTCCAGTATCTCTAACAACGATTTGTTGTTTAATGATCATTCTAAGATTGGTACGAAATTCAAGGTCACGTTTGTCACAAACCAAAATCAAAACCAAGAACTCTCGAAACGTGCAAGTTGTTAAAATGTTACTGACAGCGTGTATCATGTCTTGTCTCTCAAGTATTCCCACTGTTGCCATTGACATATTTAGTCAAGAAAGATATCTGCAAATAGGCGTTATGTCACAGAACTATTCCATTCTCTTGCAGACATTAAATCAGATATTTTTTCAACTAAGCCCGACTTCAAATTTTTTCATTTACTTATTCATGAGCTCAAAATTTTCAGCAACATTCAAGAAAATGTTTCAGCATAACCCGAACAAATTGCGTTATTGAAATTGTCAAAGAGTTCTTTCGAGACTCTATTATTGTTTTGGTTATAGTCAAGTCCATAAAAAGAGCTCTTAAGCTATCGGTAGATTCTCTCCGTTCCAAAAAGAAGGACATTTTTTAAAAACTCTTAATTCATTAATAACATTTTAACATTAATGTATGTTCTCGGAGACATTTATTAAAGTTATCACAGACATTAACGTTATTATTTTCTTTATGTTCACATTATATTTTTTTTTATTTTAACTTTTTTACTGTATTTTTTTACCCAATTCACATTTTTATACATTTAAAAAAAATATTTGTCTAGCAATAATGAAAAAATCTGATATTTTTTTAAGTTGAAGATTTTTATTCGATAGATCTTTTGAAAAAAATGGTAAAGACATTTTATCCAAGCTTACGATAACCTCTCTATGTTATTAGTTCAATTAAAATTGCATTGTATTTTGATCAAATTGTTTAAAAAGAAGTTTTAAAATTGTGAACTTTTAAAATTGTCATTTGTTAAAATTGTCGCATGATTGGCAAATATTGAAATTTAACAAAATGTTCATACTGTTTGGACTTTTATGAAATATGCTGTAAATGTACGATGTGCATCTCATGTAGAGCCATTTCACACATACATGTTAAAACTTTTAAAAGAGAACTTAAGTTACAGCACACAGATTACTATGCATGTATTCAAGAATACACATCAATAAATATTTTAATATTAATATAAAGTCTAAATTCTTAACATAAATTTTCCACTAAAAATCTTTTTAAAGAACTATTTTAAATTTTACAGCTCAATCCAATTTCTAATGAAATTGTATTGTAAACAATAAAATATATTTAAACATCGAGTTAACAAAATAGACATACAGTGTATGGAATATGTATTTGTTAAATACTTAATGTTATTGTTTGTTTTTAAGAACAAGCTGTACTTGATGCAAGTGTTTAAATTCTTTTTGATGTGTTTAAACAAACAAAACAAAAAACATCACTTTTTATTTTATATTAAAAAAACTTATTGATACTACTCAGTATTTGAAAATGTATTACAAGTGATATGCTTTTAAAAATTACACACATTATTATCAAGGGTTATGGATACATACACTTTTTTGCTTGTTTGAGAAGAGCTTATTATTTTGTTGCTAATATTTATTTTATAGTTTGTTTTTTTACCGTGTTCAATTTGTTTTTATTTTAATGGTTCTTTTCCGTTTTCGTTAACTATTAAAAAAAAAAGACCTGTTTACTCTGAAAACTTTTGTTGTTTTTTTTTGCATACTACATACGATTCTCAGATGTCTTTTACGACCGTACGCCGAGACTTTTTTGGTTCTACGATTTAACGAGACAGCATTAAAAATATATTGCGGTCATTTTTAATATTAACATAATAATAATATTAAAGTTTAAAAAAAAAAAAAAAAAAAAAAAACAGCGGTTTCTGTTTTTAGTTTTAACTCCTTTCTCCACCTGGCGTTGAATGGACAGAGAATTTCCCTGGAGACCGTCCACAATTATAATACGATTCTCACTGAAAAATTAAAGAGACTGTTGTTGTCTTGCAATTGAGTGGGTGTGTATTGGATGGGTAGGGGTCTAAATATTTTTAACCGCAACTTAATAACACCACCTCGTTTCGCAATGATCGTCAACTTGTTGCTTTGTTTTTTGGCAGTGTCTACACGTCCGGCGCGCCGGACGTCTATCTCCCGCACTATGTGTCCGGCGAACAAGTCACGTGACCGCCGTAACAAAGTGGCGAGAGATATCTTGTCGGTCAGCCTTGTCAAGTGACTGCGAATAATTCAAAACTATTGTTAATTTTAAAATCTATTTCTCTACCAAGTAATGTACTGAGTATCTTGAATGCAAATACTAGAAAAAGAAACTTAAGTGAAAGTGGCTTGTAAACATTTTTGTTTAGTTTGTTATTTTTTGTGTACCAGTAATCCATAAAATAAATTAGGGGCCAGTGTGGCAACCAATAAAAGTTAAAGATTTCATTTTAAATTATTTCAATTGCTACAAAATATTTAAAAACTTCTCATGAAACTACTGTTGCTGAGGAACATGATAATATAAATATATACAAAATATTTTAATTAAAATGGGAAGAAAAAAAACGACCCTATCCCCGGTATAGATCCTCAAACATTCCTATCGTCAAGCAACCACTCTACCACAAGACCAGACAAGATGTACTTAATCGTACTTCGTTTGGAATTATAAAAACTACTAGCCATCCGGCCATGTCCGGCGGTCACGTGACAAGTCGCCGGACGTGTATCTTGTGCACTGTACACGTTGTACATTAAGAAAATATACTTTTAATAACATTTGAAGCAGAGCAACTATGTACGTGGATAAAAAGTGTGAAAATATTTTCTTTAAATGGTATGATTTATGAGCATTAAAGAGAGCACAAAACCGAAAAGTGGTAGATGGTCTTTAAAAGTCATGTAATATCTCTGATTTCATCTTAGTTACCATACCCTTTAAGGTCATTTTATAAGGTAGATTAAGATAATATTATTGTTTATTATAATATAAGAAAGCAATGAACATAAAATTAAAACAATTTTTAACACAATCTGTCATCAAATTTGAAATAAACGGACATCGGTCGGACGATCAAGCATAATTCTTAAACATAAACACTATCTGACTAAATCAGCTTATGAGTGCGAACGTTATCGGACTAACTCAGCTAATGAATGTAATCATTATCTTGCTACCTAAGCTCATCAATGTTTTAAAATCTAACTTCCTGAGCTTATGAATGTAAACACTATTGTTTTATAGAGCTTATTTACATAATTTTCTCTGGTGCGTGCCCTATGATTGACCCCGCATGAGACGCTGTGTTCACAGAGGCGTGTGGCTTAGTCGTTTGATCTGTCGTGTTTATGCCGCCAGCCACTAAAAATAATGAATCTGTTCCAAATAGTATTTTGTAGGATGATTGCGACTTCTCTAGAAACGTCATAAGTCTTTCTGGAAGCCAGGGCTTACGCGACCTATATAAGGGATTGACAGGCACGGACGGAGGACGGATATTCAGATAGATATTATTAACTTTACGAGGCGTTTATTATTCCATGTGTATTTGTGTGCTCATACTTATATGTGTTTATTTCGCATTCATCCTTATTCATTGGCACATTATTCTAACTGTATTAACTGTGTACCGGTACAAGATCTACCATACTGTAAGTTGAAGATTGTCATTATATTTTCTTTTCTTTTGTAATTATCTTAAGAATTAATAAATCTTATTAATTGTAACTGGCAACTGTTTTGGGTGTCGTATCTTTAATATTGTTGACTCTATTGTATTGTCCTTTGTTAGGCACTGTTTACAACGAGCCAATTAAAATTAAAATAGGAGATTAATTTCTCCCAATGCAAGTCAGTGCGTAACACTACGCTTACTACCCCAACTAATGAATTTAAAAAAAACAAAACTAACCGACTAAATCATTTGATGAACGTAAACACAATCTGCTAAATCAGCTCATGAAGGTCAACCCCATCTCACTAATAAAGCTTATGGGGGTTAGCACTATCCTACTACCCATTGAACCTAATCCATATCGACTATTTTAGCTCACTTATCTTTAAGATAATTATAAAGCGTTCTATACGATATGTAAGAAATGCACATAATTCAAATCTACATTTGGAAAGGAAAATCAAATTAAAAATCATCAAGCAGGTATTGTGTATCAATATGTTATACACATTATACACGTCCCTGACTATAGCCATAGTGCTCCAAGTAGTCATTGCATAGGCAGAGAAAATTTCAGCATTTTATATTAAAAAATACTATCACACTCTCACTGAAGAGACCAACTAAATTGCCGTATTATTAAATTATTATACCTATACTACACATTGTTTAAGTAATCTATTATATTCACTATATAATATTTTTAACATAAATATTTAAAATATAATCATGTGTCGTACGATTTAATTTAAGTCATAAATATAAATAAATATGTATGTGTGACCCTGTCTAACACTATGTGTGTTGAAAATGTTGAGTCATTATGAATAAAAACAATGAATAACGCAAATAAGTCTAATAATAATCGTAACTGTAATACACTTTAAAAAAATAGTCATTACATTCATTAGGCTATCTATTATTTTTTAACATTAGGTTAGGGCCTTACTTATTTTTTACAATATAATATAGTATATAGTAATATAGATTAGGTTAGTACTATAATATAATATTTAATCTTTTAATCTTATTTAAATATATCATTATAGTTCTAGTCCTAGACCTTCACAAAAAAACAAAAAAAACCCAAAATATAGTAATTGCAAATACAAAGAAGCATTCTTTGCAATGAGTATGTTACTGTTAGGACTACTACTATGAGTTATTTTAATTTAAATATAGTCTATAAAAATAGTAGTAGTGTTAGTAATCACAATAAAACGCTAGTATTAGTATACAGCTTTTATAAAAAAAACTAATAATAAATAAGGCCTTTTATAATTGATCATGACCAAAAATTAGGATAAACTATGACAGCGTACTAAACGTATGAAGACACCCAGAGACAATTCTTCACCTGTCTAATAATAATAATACACCCAGTAAAAATGGTTTATATGTTGAAACTTAATTGTTTTATTACGTGTTATGTTTTTAAATATGTTTTATTTCCAACAATAAACCTTAACACAATAAAAATATAATTCAATTTCTCAATAATGTTGACTCTATTTGCTTGACTCCGGAACACACAGTCTCTACACACACAGTCTCTACACACACTGTCTCTACACACACTGTCTCTACACACACTGTCTCTACACACACTGTCTCTACACACAGTCTCTACACACACTGTCTCTACACACACTGTCTCAACACACACTGTCTCTACACACACTGTCTCTACACAAACTGTCTCTACACACACTGTCTCTACACACAATGTCTCTACACACACTGTCTCTACACACACAGTCTCTAC